ACGTTCGGTTCAAATTACACATTCATACAGAAGAAACCCTTCTACGTGGCTACACAATACGAGTACGCGTGCTTGGTTGCGCATTTTGGCTAGCTTGCGTTTGCTTGTTTAAAACCCGTCTGGATTTATTCATATCTTTTGTTCGGATGGCATGTCAAGGTTCGGTTTGCCCACTCATAAATAAGAAACCCTTCTACGTTGCTACACAATACTAGTACGCATGCTGTGTTGCGCATATTTGTTTGCTTGCGCGCTTGCGTGTTTAAAACCCGTCAGGATATATTCATATCGAACTACAACTACTAACCACTACTCAATGCTAGGCACTAACTACAAAATACTATCTATTAATTACTACTACTACTACTACTACTACTGCCACCACTACTACTACTAACCTAAGGTAAGTTAGATGTCATGCTGCATGTTCAAACGTTCAGCGCTCCATGTATGGAATATTCACCTACACTGACCCCTGAAACCGTCCCAATGTAGGTAAATATGCCATACATGGAGTAAAGAGACCTCTGCTTGACATGTGTTTGGTCGTTCATCCGGATGCAGTTTTGTTGCTCGTATGGCGGAATTTTCCTTTGTTTCCGCTTTAGGTTTGGCTTTTATTTTGTTGTTGAGGTTAGGGGGTTGGACAGGGGTGGATCAGCTCCCCGAATCATTGCAAGCATGGTTTCAGGTCGACCCGTTGTTTCTTGATAGTTTGTTGAAAATCTGGAGTGAAAGTTCCACCGCTGATCCGCTGCTTCTTGAAGTGTTGCAAATAGTTCTGCAGCAAGATCGGTGGCCTGTATGTTTTCAAGCACTGCATGACAATTACCTACTCCTGGCTACCGTTTGGCATACTTACTACGAAGACATATTGACACGCAGGGCAGTTTCAGCAGGCATCACAGCCGCTCTCTTAATTTTTTCTCGTCGGTTCTTCACGTACCTCGAGAATCTGGAAAGTCTGATGTTCTTTACAGATAGCACTGCTGGCCTCGCCACGCGATCGATGGCTTCTGCAGATTTGCCCGAGATTTCACCCAACACCGACCCTTGTCCTGGCTTAGACGTATATATTTCTTTCGGATTTTTGCGGAAACCCCCGGCTTCAAGTGAAAAGCATCTTCCGCCTGCAGCCATCATTCTCTGACCTGCTTGTCGGGAGGCTCCACAGACTCCGACATCATCGGCCTCTGGCTCTCTGTCTCCGCCTGTCGGCGACGAGTCTCCACACCATCTCCGAAAGAAGATTAGGCACATGGAGCAGCAAAGTGTGGAATTTGCTGCTATGGCAGACGCAGAGTCGCCGTGACCCAGATGAATATAGATTTTGTTGGAAATACTCTTAATTAAAGGAACATAGATCTATTCCTTCTAGATTTTTTCGATTCGCACGGAATTTATATGGAAAGGACGATATGTATTTCACTGTCGATCATTGAGGTTGCCTGGAACACCGCCAGCTTCTGCATCATCATTGACATCCGCATTGACATGCCAGCAGCGAGGTCGGATCTTTGAAGCCAGGTCGGAGCGTGTGTACGGAGGATTCACTCGGAATCCCGATCCTTGGCCGCTTCCCTTGCCGGATAGCACGCCTGAGAAGCCGATTTTCTACCCTGGGCAGCGTGCATTTAAGTTCGGAGGATGTCCGGAACACCGGAATCGTTCCTTGACCCCCGAGGTCGTGAAGGATTCTCTACAGTGGAATGGTACGGTCAGGCTTTTTTGCACAGCAGTGAAAGAGAAGACACCTTCGGGATTTAGAAAGTGTCTGTGCAGCTTTCCATATAAGACCAAGGATTTGCGCAGGTTGCCCCTAGATGTGCAACAAGAGTTTAAGGCTTTGCCTGCCAGTTTTGCTAGAGGATCTTCTGACACTTGAATGTAAAGTGTCATTTGGCTGCAACTTGCATGCGATGAGAGTAAGCTTATGCAAAGTCTTTTGGCAAACCGCCTCCAGAGAGCAAGCTTCGCGTTGAAGAAAACAGATTTAATTGGGCTCAGGAAAAAAGAAAGACGCAGGAAGCCCAAAGCCAAGAAGAGCAAAGCTGCACCGGTGCTCGCCAAAGATGTCAAAAACGCTTGGCAAACACTGACGCGAGCCCAATGGTTGCGCAAGCCGCGGAATTGCGGCTGTGGCGGAACATTGGTCCTTGCGCCATGGAAAGTGGGAATGCGTCGTGGCCGCGGCAGGGCTTTTTTGCGCTGCACAGACTGCCGCAAGTGGTTTGATGTGGTCACTTTCAGCGTTCTCCTGAAACTGAAGTGGCCTTTGCCTATGTTGCTTCGGGCCATGGAGCGATATTTCCATGGCGCGGTCGCTGAAAGTGTGGAGAGCTGTGCTGTTGCATTGGGTTTGACCGGCTCCAACACTGGTGTTCTTTTCAAACTCTGGCGGGTCTTGAGAATGTGCGAGTGCCGCTGCATGGACGCATGCCAAAGTTCACGAACACTTGCTGGAGAGCTGGAAGCGGATGCAACTAGCATCCGCAAGTGGAAGTGTGGAGATGGCCGCAATGCATATCTCCAGCTGTTCGGGATTCTTCAGCGCCCCAGTGCACACAATGAAGATCGTTGCTGCAACTTGCATGCAATGAGCTTGGCTTATGCAAAGTCTTTTGGCAAACCGCCTCCAGAGAGCAAGCTTCGCGTTGAAGAAACAAATGCCTTCCAGCAAGTGAAGTCCAAAGATCCTCGTGGTCTCCGCACGCTGCTCCTCACAGATGGTGCGCCGTGCTACAAAGGACTGGCGAAGAAGTACAAACTGCTGCTGCGCCAGTGCAACCATGCCAAAGGTGTCTTCGCTGTGACCCGAAATGTGAAAAAGCGCGGCAAGGTCAAAGTGCACACAGGTGGAATCGATGGCTTCTGGAAGATAGTCAAGCAGGGCATTCCTGCGTCGATCTCTTCCCTAGTGAAAGGTCGGACCAATAAAAACCTTTGGGCCTATGTGCGTTCGGCCCATTGGAGATGGGAACTCGGAGGCCACAGGTTGCTGCAGGGGACAGGAAAAGCTGTCGCGCAGCTATGACAGAAGATCTGTCACGAAGGCTGTGAAAAAGCAGCTGCGGATGGCTGTGGACGTGTCATGCGCTGCGGACACATGCTGGGACCATGGAGAACAGCCCCCCAAGATCTTTGAGCCCCAAGAGAACTCAGCAGCCTTCTCAGATCGACCGAGCAGTTTGCGACGCGCTTTCGTGCGTTCGTTGTTCGTTCGCGCGACTTGATGGATCCGCACGGTGTGAGAGAGAGGGAGAGGGAGAGAGAGAGAGAGAGACGTCCTTCCCGCGAGTCGTTTTCGGTCAGTCACACCCCGTTGACCCCACGGATGGTGCCGACGGATGGGGACGGGTGCCGGCGATGGGCGGTGTAATTGAAGAGGGAAACCACCAACCAATGGTTAGACGGTAGACTGGTCGATTTCTTCCATCCCTATTCATACACACGATAGAGTTACAGTACCAATATATTATATTAATATATTATGATCATTTCCCTACAGGTCAAAGACCTTCATTTTACTGATCCTGTCCATGAATCATGTTTCATCAACGGTCTGAATGGCCCGGAGGACTCTTTTTTCAAATAGGTTCATCTGTGGAAACGTGACAAAACATAAACTTTTTTCCAAAATGTGGTCAAAATTCAAAAAACGAACGTGCCGATGGGGACCCCTTTTTGCCAAGAAAATGCTGTAAGGGTTGCACAACGCAAAAAAAACGACATTTTTTTGAACCCTTTTTTCTTTCTCAAAAAATCAGGTGTCGCTGCAGCGAAACAGAGAAAAAGACAAAAATCGTGGGGCGGTAATAATTCCGCCGGGATGTTTATGTTTCTTTATTTTTGTGTTTTGCTTTACTTATTGTTTGCCGCAATCGTGTTGACTATTCTTGAGACCTTGTGGACGCTAGGAAAACATCCTGGTGGTCACCGAAGATGACCAGGAACCTGAGGTGACGGTCAAGCTCATCGACTTTGGCTTTGGGAGTCGGATCCTGGAAGGGGTGAAACTCCGGGCCAAGGTTGGAACCTTTGTGTGCCTTGGAGCCTCAGTTATGTTGAAGTGGGGGTTGGGGAGAATGAATGAGAATGAATAAGAATGATGCCCGATCAATTTCTCAGAGGTGACGCTTCATGAAGTGGCCAAGTGATGACAATATTTCGGTGCGGTCGACCCAGGTATAGCGCGCCTGAAATCTTGAAGGGCCAAGCCTGTGACGAGAAGATTGATCTGTGGGCCTTGGGATGCGTGTTGTTCGTGCTGCTCTCTGGTGATTCCCCTTTTTATGGAACGGATTGCCAGGCCAGCATCACCAAAGGCAGCTATGAGATGGATGGGAAGTGGGATCAGATCTCGGAGGATGCAAAGGACATGATCAGGAAACTTTTGCAGGTGGAGCCGTCGTGCCGTCTCTCAGCGAAAGAGGTACTAGAGCATCCTTGGCTGCAGAAGGCTGCCCCACACATCAAGCTAGAAGCAGCGGCCCTAAAACACATTGGTGCTTTGGAAACGTTTCACAAGCAGAACTTTTTCCGTCACTTGGCGGCGGGTGTTCTTGCCAAGCAGCTGGATGAAGGGGACCTGCATGAGCTTCACAAGGCCTTTTGCGAGATCGACCAGGATGAGAATGGGGTCGTCACCTTCTCTGAGTTCAAAGATGTGCTAAGAGATTTCAATCTCAATGATCAAAGCCATCCCGAGTTGCAGTTGGGCTCTGGCAAAGTGGCTGAGATTTTCCATAGCGTGGATCTGGATGGGCGCGGTGTGATAGACTATACAGAATTTGTTGCAGCTTGCCTGGACCACAAGGTAGAGGAAGAGGAGGGAGTCTGTTGGGCAGCCTTCCAAGTCTTCGACAAGGTCCGATGGGTTGGGATTTGGGGTCCGAAGGGTTGGGATTTTGGGCCCGAACCAGGAATGTCATGACAGAAATTCTGTCGGCCCAAGGACTGCAATGGCACCGTTAGCTTCGAGGAGTTGGAGCAGGTGTTGAATACTGCAAGCATGGAAGGCCGGCTTTGTAAAAAAATGGTCGCAAAAAGCAGGTTGCAGCAAGTTCTTGGTATGACTCTATATATATATACACATAATTATACATATAATACTAGTTACAATGCTATATACACTTATATTATCATGCTTCTATATGCTAATCTATTTTTGCTTTTTTTGTTCACGTGATTCTGTACACTCTGGATGGCATAGCATCGTGCGCATTCGGGCAGGAAGGAATCCCCTTCGCCACTTTAGCGTAGGGTAATCAAATGTGAACCCAAAAGGAAACACGATGAAACATCTATAATGTATCTGTCGCAAGAAGCCGCGCGTGACCATCCAAAGCATACAACAATTTCACAAATAGACCCTTTCGTGCATGGCTTCCCATCACTTCTGTCAGTGAGACTTATTTCGAAAGCTGCATTGTGTCGTGCTTCTGTTATTCATGGGTTCTTGGCCTAATTTTGGTGTCGCCGTTTGTTGATGGCGCCTCTTTCATACTCTTTCCGATTCTTGCTTTGAATCTGATGTTATGTTGAGACCTGGTTGTTTCTTGCCCATTCGAGAAAGCGTTCAAACTAGGCGAATTTGAGCCGAGAGAGAGAGAGAGAGAGCGAGAGCGCAAAATGGGGTGGTTTCTATCTTGCGCGGAAAGACTCCCCCATGAAAGAAACGTTTGCTGAAAGATTTCCCCCCCAAGGAACATCAGAATCTACACTCAACATCACTCAACCACAGTTGGTCCAGTTGTCCTGCGTAACAACACGCTATTTCTTGGAATTCTATTTGCGTTTCCCAGATACCTTCTCCCCCGAGCTTCGGCGTGAACTCTGGGAAGAGCTGACTGGGCGTGATCAGAGTGCCGTGGACTTCGACCATTTCCTGGCGGCACTTCGCGGCGTGCGCTGTGGCCAGCTAGATGCTGCTTTCAAATAGAGCCACTTCTTTTTCTTGCAGATGCTCTTACGGTGGGTCCCATATAATTAGATCAGATAGATGCTTCAATCATAGATGTCATCACCCCATAAGGATCTAAAACCAATGCCACTCGATATTCAGACAAAGCGAACCAGGAATCCAAGAATGACGGCAAAGAGGCGAGTGAGGCCGCTGCGTTGCCAGTGCATCGTCGCCAGCAACGGGCTGTCACGTCAATGGGGTTGCCGATCAAGGCGCGAGGAGGTGATGCGCTGCCCATCCGTGGCCGTGCTGGAACCCTGCCCATTGGCCGTGGTGGTGGCTTGCCGATTGCCAGCAGACACTGAGAAGGAACAAGTTGAGAATTGAAACGTTTCATTTGAGCTGATTTGAAGTTTACCTTGGCAGCGCTTGCCAGAAAAGGTGCGACAGAAGTGCTAAAGTCGCTATTAGCGGTGTTAGGATGTGTTAGGAAATCGCCTTTGTTCGACCGTCGCTGCCCTTCACCCGTCCAGGTGAAAGCCATCACTGGCGACGACACAAGGCCGAGCGCTGTCAGCTTTGCACCTGCAAGGTCGCCATTATTCAAAGCATATGAGTGATAGACAAAACTCTGGCTAGCGGGACATCTTGGGATGGCCAGGGTCAGCCTCGGGGGGGCTGACCCAAACCATAGATTTGGTCCAATCCTCATATTCGAAGCCACCACCAATTGGTAAGCATTCTTTTCAACGGCAGGCCTTTACCGGAGCCACAGCCAGGTATTCCGCCCCTTGGCGAAGAAAATCGGTTTTTTAGCGGTCAGCCGGGATGTTTGGACCTTGACTGCAGGTCCGTTCCGGTCCGACCAGACTCCTACTGGAAAACCACCTTGCCGCCCACAACCACCGTGACCACAGTGACAATTACCTATACCGGCGGCCAGCGGCCCAGATGAGAACGTACGTCACTTCGGATGTACGACTCGCTGCCGCTGAGCATGAAGTGATGTGCCTTGCAGGGTACCTTCCGATGAGCATGTTTGGTCAGAATCCTGCTGGCTTGCTGGCGCCTCTCGCAGCCAGCATCCCAGAGTTGAAGGGATCCGTGCGGTCGAACGTTTAGCAGCGAAGCCACTTCTGCTAGGCTGCCCCGATTCCGACACAGCCACCAACCTTCAAAGACTTCTACTCATCAGTGAGGGACTTTGAGCAGCCGCAGGCGTGGAGCATTCTGTTGGCACGCATGCCACAATGTGACAGAACGCAGTATGCTGGATTTGATTTGCATCCACTTGTCTATCTTGTGCTTTCGAGCCTCACTTATAGTTTCTGAGAAGGGCTTGATTGTGCAGGCAACGCCGACCGGGCTGGCATGTATTGAAGATTTGCCTCATGCTAGGAAAGGCTTTGGGCAGTGGACAGACAGACACTTTACAGATGAATGAAGGTTTGCGTTCTCAATTTTGTATGCTATTTGCCCCTTCCCCTGCACCAAAAGATAGAACCCTTTCTCAGATGCCAGGAAAGACAACTTTTTTGACATGACCAGCAAATGGTTGCATGCTGAGAGTTGGCGTGGGTCTAGGACGTTTTTTGCCTCACTGGCTAACCCTGGGTAAATTCGTGGAGTATGCCGTGTTGCTCATGCTTTGTCTGCAAGTACGTGTGTTTGAATGCAGCTCCGTTTTTTGGGGGCAGAGTTACTGAAGTTGGGTCGACGAAAAGAAGCCCATTGTCCCAAGTCAGCTTGTTCATTCTGAGGCTTCCATCTGCCTCGCGAAGGTGGATCAAATTCGATGCCTTCTCAGAAGTGAGAAAGCTGGAAGAACGAAATGCTGTCAGGTTAGCCTCCGGAGAGAGCGAGGCCATCTCTAATGTGGTTTATTTATTTCATCCATTTTGTCACACATCGTCACGCTGCTTGTTCATTTGTCATTCAGATTGGTGGACCGTGGGGCTTTGGCCGAGAAGCTGTGGGCCCAGTACCAAACAACGGCCCAACCGACCATGGCAGCCTGTGCTCAGGAGTCAGCGAAGACGGCTGGCATCCCAGTCAAAGCTGGATGGAAAACACCCCGTTGGTAAGTCATTGAGTGTCAAGCCAACCTATTTTTTTGGGGGCATGACATGCATGATACGGTTAAAATAGTGCATGTAGAAATCTCAAGGCGTGCATCAGTTCATATGAGCGGAGAGGAACAGAGGAACAGGACATGCAAGATGCAAATGATATGTGTGAGTTCATGGGGACTCCTCAGATTTATGCAACCCCAAAATCAGCATGAACTAGTACTGCTTGGCATAGCTGCTTAACCCACAGATAGCCACAGAATGCCAGGGGCACTTCCCCCTTCTCGTCCTCCGTTTTTCATGGCGAAGACGGACGATTTCCTCTCTGGCTCGCGGGATCGGCTGAGTTGCTCGGGCAGATTGGAGCTCCTTTATGGAGATGCACTGAGCCAAAGTAAAGCAACCCTTCAAGAAGAGGCCTTGAGGCGGGAATCCACTGACTCTGTCAGTGGGTCATGCGACTTGGAGGTGCAGGAGTTTCAGAAGTGCCTGGAAGAGGGCTTGAAGCCGCGGCAAAGTCGCTATGAGAGAACTATGGATCAAATTCGTGCGGAAAAGATCTCCTACCAGCAGATCAGCAGAGCCTTACCAGCTCCCCACCCCATTGATTTCTTTTCCAAGGCAAGGTGCCGAACATTGCTGAACGCTTTTTCTTGTTGAGGAAACATCAGGAAACGCCACGCTCGAAATTTAGATCAAACAAACGGTTGTGGGTGAACCTATCCTCCAGCATCCTCCAGGTGAATCCGGACTGCTTCCACGTGGATGGTCAGCCTGTCCGCCAGCCGCGTTGGCATCCTCCACGTCATGGAGATGCCCGGCGCCGGCCGCATGTGCCGTTGGAGCGGGATTTCGACTCTCCGTCCGAGTCCGAGGACGAGGATGGCGAGGATGAGGCGGTAAATCAGCCTTACCGAGTTGAGAGTCAAAGAGCTGCAGAAGCGAACATGGGAGCGCAGGCTCAATTGCAAGAAAGACCTGCAGATGGCCTGCCCGCGTTGCCGATTTCATGGCCCTGCGGCCCGCACTGCTGCATTGATCACTGCCGGACTCTTGCTCAGGGCTGCTCCACTTTGCTTGAAGGTCTAAGTAGTTGGCGTGCAGCCACAGTGGAGCTGAAGCAGTCCCGCCGTGGCCTGTGCCAAGTGAAGGATGAAGATGCGGTGGTGGAAAAGTTACGTGAAGTGAGAGAATGTCAGCTCGCTATGGGCACAAAGTACCAACCATCGATGCGCACTTGGCAGCGTGCCTCGTAGATGGAAGATGATTTTACGACAGCTCGTCCGCCGCAGGGCAGGTGGTGAGCTCAAGTGGAACACAAATGGACATCTACCAGCCAGCCTTTTCAGATTGTTCAGCACAAAATGCTGGTGGAGGCTTCCCCCAAGCAAGTGTACAGGTGCCTTTCCATGTTTTCATGTTTTTGTCCTTCCCCATGGGCCCAAAATAGCTGCGCAATGCAGTTCGAAGATTTGCATTGTGGAGCTGCCAGCCCAGACCAGAATGTCATAACGTGCTGTAGTTTTGCTAGCTATGCTAGCTGCTTGGGCTCAAGAAGAGCATTTCTGAAGTGGTCAAAGTCAGCCACAGGAAAAGAGACGTTTGACTCAGCCCGTCAGCAATGTGCAGAGTGCGTACTTGGGTGCAGCGTCCTGCGTCCAGGTCACTGACAGCGCCCAGGATTTGGCCAGCCAAATGGAGATCCTGAAGGTGCTAAGGGAGCTGCGCATGAAATATGGACACACTTACATGGACTCTATAAGTGAAACAACTGAAATGTTGGATCCAGGGCCGGGCTATACAATCAAGCAAGGCCGAAAGCTTAGCTTTCTGTAAATCTAGAATTATCAAAGTCACACTTCACTCAATCTCTTTGCTCAAGGGCCCCTCGGATTCAGTTGGGGCCCTCGGATTCAGTTTCTTAGTTTTGCCAGTTTGCATGGTTTGACGTTCATATCGCTTGATGTTGCTTGGCGGGGCGTGCGGACGTTTGGGGTCAAAGACATATGTGGAGGAGATGCCGTGCATGACTGTCCCATGTGGCGCAAGTGGTGTTTTGCGTTCGTTGGTCGGTTCGTGGTCCTTCTACTATACATATATATATATATACACTGTATATGTTTGTATAACAGTTTTGCACATACTATATATATACAGTATATGAATTAAAATTTGTGCGATTCGCGTGATGTGATCACATTACTAAAAGTCGGCTATGTCGGACGTTTCGGGGCAACATCGTCAGAGCATGGGTCATCTTGGGGCCAAGTTGGCCCCAAGTTGAGGGCCACTTGGCGCCAACTTGGGCCCGAGGGCTCAACATGAGGCAAGTGGTGAGGCTGTTTCAGGTTGACGTTGGGCCCAGCATGATGCAACTTGGGTCTGTTTGGGTTCAACTACTGTAGTGCTCAAATTAACTTTAACGTGGACTCAACTTGGGTCGACGCCAAGCTTGCAATCAACTTGGCCCAAGTTGGCGCCATGTGGCCCCAAGTTGAGCCAAAGTTAGGGGGAGCCTTGTCAAAAGAAAACCAAGAGGAACACATTATATAGATGCAAAAGAGAAGAGAAAACGTATTTCAGCCGAATTTGCACAAGGAAACGACACCTCCACAACGCAAGGTTGACCGCGAGGTCCATTCTAAAAAATGACCGTGAGATCCCCTTTTGCTGCACAGTGAAAAGTTGAATGGAACAAGTGCAGTTTGCTGACCTGATTGCATCTAAATGTTGTGTAGAACAACAGGAATATTTTCATGAGAGAAAACACATACAGTAAGGAAAGGAATTGAAAGAAAGAACAAGCAAACATGAAGAACAAGTGGAGAAAGAAATTACAAAAACAAACATCAATGAAAATAGTAATAACAACACAAAGAAACAATTATATACTGCAATTGGAAAAGGAAGAGAATAACAACAGGAACAACAAACGCTTGATAACTGATAATTGTGCCAGGCCCTGTTCCAAAGGGTGTGGCACACACACAAAAAGGGTGTGTATATATAGATATATATATACATCTACATACAACAATTGTAAAATACATATGTCATACATTAAGCGAGCCTGGCAATGAGAAACAAATTAGCGGATTAGCGATGCCACATGCGGACCTGTGCACAAGTCGGAGTCCAATATGATAAGTCACGGCATCATTGCAATCAACCTCATGAAAGCGAGTCACGTTGAGGTCGTGAAGGGCATCAAGGACCTAGCCAACCAAATGGAAGACCTCCAGGCATACATGGACCTGTGCTCACTTCACATGCCACATGTAATGAATTTTCAATTCTCAGGGGGGCCAGCAACAGTGTGGTGGATGCAGGAAGCTCAGGCGTCATGCACAAAACGACTGTTGGTTTGATTTGGTTGCCTTATGAGGGCCCAAGATCGCCGGAGACTCCGGATCTACTTAGGACCCCAGACTGAAATCAGTCGACTTTTCGCGACGCCATAGCGTGCCGTAGCCCGGTGTGGCATCGGCGACTGCGAGCGAAGCGTTCGCGAGCCCGTGCGTTCATCGCACGACATCAAAACAAGCTCTGGATAAAGGGGAAGGTCTTGCAGAAACTCTTACGCCTGGTGAGGTTCTTGTCCCTGCATCATACGAGGCCAGTTTTTCGCATTGCTGCATTGGACGTGTCCACTGTGGGAGAGACGAGATCCGGCATGACATGGAAGCAGAACAAGAACTGGAATCCAAAGGCGCAGGCATGGAAGCAGGCATGGCCCTCAGAGCAGCCAGAGAAGCCCAAGACGAAGAAGGAAGACAAGGAGAAAGACAAGGCCTTTTTCGTGGGATACGATGGCAAAAAAGTGCCTTTGCCAAGTGGACATGTGGCTTCATCGGGATCTACATCCTCAGCTACTACGGGTGCAGCCAATTCCCAGGTCTTGGAAGAGAACCGGAAGTTGAGGGATGTCTTCAAGCTCATCCTCGACAGAGATGCGGGGAAGGAGACTGGAAAGAACCCGACGGACTTGGTGGAGGAGTGCAAGAAGTTGGTGCACAACCCCCGAGAAAGTCTTCGCGAAAGGCAGAGGGAGTTGAACAAAGAGAAGAAGAGCATCAACAAGGCCGAGAAGCTGGAGATTGCCATCAAGGAGAAGGAAGACAGCTTTGTGAAATGGAAGGCGGGATTTCACGAAATGCTGAAAGCAGAAGAAAAGCGCTACGAGGAGGAAGTCAAGGCCTTGAGAGAAGAGCTCAAGCTTGTGGAGGAAGGCCCGGAGATCAACTCCATGGATGCGGACAGCGACGGAGAGCTGATTGCCAAGAATGTGGCAGAGGACCTTTCGCAAGTCAAGGCTCAGATGGACCAGATGGCGACCTACTTCGAGGTGATGGAAAAGCGAAATCAACAGATGGTGCAAGAAATGAATCATCAAGTTCAAAGCTTGGTTGCGGTGATTCGTACATCCCAAAGGCCAGATATGGTGAATCAATCCTCGCCACAATTGATCCGACCACCAAGACAGAGGCTCGAATCAACTCCAGCAAGGGAGGGGCGATCGCGATCACCGGCTATGAAGAGGCCTATGATCGAGATGGTGTCGGAGGAGCAAGAGTTAAAGACATTCCTGCAGGGATTGCTTGCAAATCTCCGGGAAGAGCACCGCCAACATATCTTGGCCATTGTCGAGTCCGAACCGGAGGAATACTCAACAAAAGAAGCCATCGAGATCTTGGTTCAGCAGGTGATGACACAGGTCAACGGGCAGATGCTTGGCAGTACTCTGGACTCGATGGACTCTCCCAATGCTCTGCCAATGACGATGAGCAGAAATTCGATGTTGCCTTTTGGAGGGAAGGCAAACAGCAGGAAGGTGAGCAAGAAGGGGGAAGTTGTCTCGACGACCCCTGTAGAGGCTGCAGTGGCCAAGACGGGCTTGGAGGTTCCATTGCCGGAGGTGTTGGACGACAAGCTATGAGCACTGCAGAGGTCTCTTGTTTCAAGAAGGGGAGTAACAGTGTTAGGGATGACACTGCTACACATACAATTGCTGGGTGCGCCACTTTTCAAGGCAGCAGCATCAATTGTACGCTAGTTGCTGATGATCCTGAGCCAACTTTGTGTGGTGATGGGGAACTTATCTATCAGAGTGCATCCTGGTTTCAAAGCGGGTGTGCTCATTTGAAGAAGATCCGAGTCGGGACTGCTACGATTCTCTGGTTTGTGGCTGGAGAAACGACTTTTCCAAGTGAGTCCTTTCATGATTTTCTTCGTCTTTTGGTGATCTATGTGTTGGGGGCCATGATTGTCATGGTTTGTGTGTATGAGATAGATGAGATGTGGCAAGTGAGCCGTTGCTTGTGGAAGCATTTGCATGGCAGGCGGATTAGGCCAATCCCGCCTTGTGCTATCTTCACAAGGGCACTTCTTTGCCAAGCTTGGGGGGTTGTGTGCAACTACATGATCCTAGAGTTTGAAGTCCAAGCACCAATGGAGCCTAATGTGATGGAGCTTGGTAGCTTGGTCTTCAGTGCCATGCACTTCAATGCCGCAGGATGGATGCTGACTTCCCGAAGGGAAAAAGAGTGTCTGCGCAAAGGCCATGCTAAGCTGCTGAAAAGAGTTGCTATTTTGCATTTTGGCCCAGCTGCATTGAAGTGGGAAGAGACCAAGATCCAACTGAACTTGGTGTCCCGGGAGCAGAAGATTTTTTGCGCGAGGCGCGATTGAGATTTTGCTTGCAATTGGTGAACCATGGTACACCACACCTCTGGACACTGTTACAGATGGAACAACAGTGGATAGCTAAACTCGTTGCTGATTTCGAATGGCTACGAGAGCTGGCACCTGAGGCTGAACTGCCACAAATGAATGCTGAGACATGGGATCATATCGTTGCCTATATTGGAGAGTCAGCTGGCAGATGGAAGGCCTTGATACGAAAGGTAGTCAAGCGGCATGTGGCAAGTTTGGAAAGAAAGCATCAATGGAACCGTTGGCATCAAGATGTTCTTGAAGAACTGAGGGAGCAAGGAGTTTGTTTCAGTGAACGACACACCAATGACCTGGAGCATTTCTGCGCAAAGTGCAAAATGCGGTTTACTAGTGTGGCGGCTCAGACGGTCCATGCCTTCAAGAAGCATGGCAGGCTTTGCGAGGTGCGACATTTCGTCCTGGGGAAACAATGCGAGGCCTGCTTGCGACATTACTCCACCCACATCAACTTGATCAATCACGTCAAGAGGAAACGACTGTGCAAGCAATTCTACCTCACACGAGGTCAGATCGTTGAGGTTCAGGCGGGAGTGAACAGCAGGGGTGCTTCAGCCAAACTGACAGAGTGGCATGACCCCTACCTCCAAGCTGAAGGGCCTCATGAGTGCAGAGCACAGTCGGTACAATCGCTAGTGCATCCACAACAAGCAGAATATGATGCGCTCTACGATGCCTGGAGTGCAGCTGCTGACCTTGCATGTGAGACAACAACTGACATATTAGAAAGCCTGAGACTGGCCACTGCTGGAACGGTGCTCCTTCCGAAGGAAGTTATTGAGCACTTTGGCAGGTGGTTAGAAGACTGGGCAGGAAATCATGAAGAGGTTGCTCTGGCAACACTGCAGCAGCTGGCTAGCTACCGAGTCCAATTTTGTGCCGATTGGATTTTAGATGGCGTGCTTCAAAGTGCTGCGGCCCGTGAGAAAGCTGGAGAAATCTTTGAAAGGGAGGCAGATGGCATGGATGTGCTTGTTCGTCCTGCGGCGGCGCTGCCTGATTTTGAAGTCCATGTCATTGCGCACTTGTTTTCTGGACGTCGAAGGTCGGAAGACCTCCAAAGTATCCTGGAACAGAAGGGCTTTAAGCCCTTGTCGATTGACATTATATTCGACAAAGTGAAAGGCAATTTGCTGCGGCACGAAACCTTCCAATTCTTCCGGCGTGCATTATATGCTGGATGGCTGAAGGGCTTCGTAGCAGGCCCCCCATGTGAAACATGGTCCAAGGCCCGAGCTGTTGCTGTCGAGGGAGGCCGGCATCCTCGAGTCGTCCGAACCAGGACGTGCCCTCAGGGGCGATTGGACATGACCTTTCGTGAGCACCAGCAAGTGGCACTAGGAAGCGGACTGTTGGGCGTTGCCCTACGACTTGTAGCAATTTCGATTTGCAGCGGATCAGTGGCTGTGCTTGAACACCCTGAACAGGATGAGCACAATGAACAGGCAGCATCAATTTGGCGGCTTCCGATTGTTCGAACCTTCCACCGCTTCTCGAATTGCTCTAGTTATTGCCTGCTCCAGGGACACTATGGGGGCAAGACGCCCAAACCAACGAGATTACTTTTTACCAATGTGACAGCGCAGATTGAAGAGATCATTGTGCGAGGCCGGTGTTCCGCCCTGCCGAAGCGCACGGCGGTAGGTCGAAAGTGCGATGGCTCTTGGGCCACCACGGAGTTGAAAGAATACCCTGGTGGACTCTGCAAGATGTTGGGAGAGGTGTTTGAAAAATCCCTCCCGGCAGTCGGAAATAAGGTCATGCCCCCTGAATTTTGGGAGTTTGTTCATGAACTCATGGCGGAGTTTGACTTTGCTGCTTCTCAGGGACAGGACTTTAACCCGGCAACTGCCATGAACCTTAATTAAATGCACAGCGGCCACGGAAGAGACACTTTCTTTGGCACTCGCAAAGGCAAAAAAAGGCATGGTTGCCTTATGCCTGGACCTTGGGCACTTACTTACCGTCCACACGGCCTACACCGCCCTTCGGATGATGGAGTTACACCGTTACACCCGAGACAAAGTGTCACACTGCCGATCCCCTGAGACAACTGAGTCTATTGCAGAAACCTTTGCATGATGGCTTCCAAGCAGGGTTCAAAGCCATGCAGCCCTTTTCACCTTGGGCAAGGCGTACAAAATACAAGCGTAGTCAAAAGGATTGGTTCTCCACGGGCAGGAACACAACATGTCTGCCTTTGGTAGGCTATGTGGCAGCGTCATGCACGTAACCAGGGTCAGCAGTTTTTTCAGTATTGGTCTTTTAAGGTGCAAGTGTTTCTTCTGAGCCCCCAAAAACACCATGCTTGAACACGTTTACTGTCTACCTGCTACTTGAACATGCTAAGTTTACCTGTTACTTAACTCTTTACCTGCTACTTGTGCACCTCGAGAAGAAGGGCAATTGCCAAGTTTTTGGATGTGCATCGATGGATTGATGGACGGGCGTGCGCTGGTTTTGTGACCCCGAAACACCAGGACCCATGGCGCTACTATGTCTTCTCTCTCCACAGGTTTCAGAAGCCGGTGGGCCTCCTCTCTATACTTAAAGCTCTTGATGGCTATCTATCTTGGATCAATCTATGAAACATCTGTTTGGCTATTCTTGTGGCTCTAGCAAGAAGTAGGACAAATGCACTCGCACTCAAGCAGCCATAAACCACCATTTACCGCTCAGTGCAAGGCATGTGTTTGGACTGATGGATGTTGGAATTTGCTTTGTGCTTTTGCTTTTTTGCCATTGATGTTTTTGCAGTCCATTCCTAACCCTGATGCGTCTTGTCATGTCCTGGTATATATATATATATACTTATATATATATACACATAGCCGGTTGAAGCAAAAAGCAAGAACTGAAAGGAGGATTTTGAACACGAACCGCGCCGGCTTCGTGTTCTTGAGAAGAAATGAGATGTTTTAGAGCGAATGAGTGCGACATTGTCACGGAACTCATCAGCATGACGACCCACCATCGATTCACCTCGCTGTGCTGAGGGCCGGACTTCCAGCGCAGCGTGTGCCCTATGGTTGCTCATACTTGATGCTAAGTTTTGGACTTTCAAAGTCACAGCACAGCTGTAATCACTTCGCCACTGAGACTTTTCTAGAAACATGCATTAAGCAATAAGTGTTCAAGTCTTCGGGTTGTGCTCAGGTCAATGATTTTGCCAATCAGATGGCTAAGTTGAAGGTGCAGTTCAGAATGGTCGGGTGATTGTTTGCGCTGATGTGATTGCAAGGACCAAGTCAAGGTCTCTGACAGCGTTGACAAGATGGTCAGCCAATTCAACGATTTGAAGGCGCGGATGAGTTGTGCATTTGCTTTGCGATGGAGTGTGCAGTGTGCTCGATGGATTGATGGACGGGCGTGCGCATTAAATATGGACACACTTACATGGACTCTATAAGATCTATAAGTGAAACAACTGAAATGTTGGATCCAGGGCCGGGCTATACAATCGAGCAAGGCCGAAAGCTTAGCTTTCTTTAAATCTAGAATTATCAAAGTCACACTTCACTCAATCTCTTTTGCTCAAGGGCCCCTCGGATTCAGTTGGGGCCCTCGGATTCAGTTTCTTAGTTTTGCCAGTTTGCACGGTTTGACGTTCATATCGCTTGATGTCGCTTGGCGGGGCGTGCGGACGTTTGGGGTCAAAGACATATGTGGAGGAGATGCCGTGCATGACTGTCCCATGTGGCGCAAGTGGTGTTTTGCGTTCGTTGTTCGGTTCGTGGTCCTTCTACTATATATATACACTGTATATGTATGTATAGTTGTTTAATTAACATGTGTGCGATTCGTGTGATGTGATCACATTACTAAAAGTCGGCTATGTCGGACGTTTCGGGGCAACATCGTCGGAGCATGGGTCATCTTGGGGCCAAGTTGGCCCCAAGTTGAGGGCCACTTGGCGCCAACTTGGGCCCGAGGGCTCAACATGAGGCAAGTGGTGAGGCTGTTTCAGGTTGACGTTGGGCCCAGCATGATGCAACTTGGGTCTGTTTGGGTTCAACTACTGTAGTGCTCAAATTAACGTTAACATGGACTCAACTTGGGTCGACGCCAAGCTTGCAATCAACTTGGCCCAACATGCCGCAACTGATGCCCTTATAGCATGCCTTGTGCGTTTGGTGTGAGAAACTGCATCACATGTC